TATTTTAAGCAGTAGAATAGCTTTTGAATCTTATTATATGAGGGAGTGATAATAGAGGAAAGATGGGAAAAGCCTAATAGGTCTCCAAAAAACTAGTATCGACATTTTAGCAATAAAATACATCCTGAGACCAAATATGCTGTTTAAATGTAAATACCATTTCTATTTTCAGACTGTCTTTTGCAGGTGTATCTGAAGGGATTTTAAATATACTTCTAGATGGGAAAGAGGCTATTGACCTTGAAACTATGTATGTGTAAGGAATAATCTTCCCCCTCCTTGAAATCCAGCTCATATTCTTTGAATGGGTGCTCAAGACCACAAGTCTGAGCAGTGGTTTCACATGGCATTCATTGCCTAACTCAATCAAGACCGACTGCAAAGCTGTTCCTCAGGAATCATAGACTATTGCCTTGTCTTATTTTCATCTACTATGGTTGTGAATGTAACAGTGACAGATGCACTAAGTACAACTTTTCTTTGTTCTGGTGCAGATTTGATATAACAAGACAAGGTCGGTGTGTAGACAAAATGAAGAATCCGATACTGAAGTTCAGGTTGATAGACATGGTTATACTTTTATGTCAGAAAAGGAAAAACTTTCAGATGTCATTGTGTAAATTCCCAATATGACACTGGGCTCTGTTTTCCTCTTAGTCCAGAGGAAATTCTGCTTCCAAATATTCACTCTTACTTTAGAAATCACCTGAAGCCATGCAGGAACTCATTACCATGCAGAGCGTTAAAACATTCATCTCACTAGTGTCACATACAGATTTTGAGATGCATGAATCAGTGAGTGAAGGAGCACACAGCTCTTTGAAAGGAAAATGAGAGAATATGGGTATAGTTTGTAAGATATTTCCTTGGCCAGTTTCATCAGTTTAAATTGGCTGTGTTTTAAAGATTTAGGTGTTGATTTTGGAAGTATAAAATAACATCTTTGAGAGACCAAAACACATTTGGATGTTTTTGTATGTAATTTTTTTCTAAAAAAAATATTCTACACAATAATTTTAAGACTTCAAATTTAATGTCTTACTAAATGAGCTGGAGGGACAACTTCTGCCAGTGCTGTGGTTTCACACACACAATAAACTGGCATAATCATTTACACAGAGAACAAAAGAAGTAGTTTAGAAATTTGTTTCAAATTGAAGTTTAAGTTTTGAAGAGACATGTGAAAGGTGAAATTCACAGATTTTTCATGCTTGCAGGTTTTTATAGCCTCTGGTAATGCATGTCCTTACTCTGACATCACATATATGTGAAAAGATGGATGTAATATTTAAAGATATCTTTTGACAAAGAAAGTATTTCCATCTTCAGAGGTGAGATTTAGCTTTAAAGGATGATGAGCAGGTTCCAGATGTGTTTTTCAGTTGCTGGGTTTTACTTTCCTTAAGTATTGACAGAGGGAAGGTTTTATCAAGGTCTTTGTGATGCACTTGTTTATAATGAGTAGACATTAGTAGAGCACATCTAAGTGCATATCACTAACAGATGACTAAAGAGAGCATATGGCAGGGAAAAGAAATATATATTTGTCCAACCAATGTGGCTTGTTAACACTCCCACACTCATAAACTCATGTGTTTACATGTGCTTACAATATTTTGCAAATCCGTTTTCTAATCAGCTAAAAATAAAAGCCAAATAATTTTTTGCAATATTGGAGTGTTAGGCAAAGTTGATTTAGATTTTTTGTTTTAAACAAAGCAATTAAGCAGTACAGAAGATTTTACAGTATTTGTTTTGCTTCAGCATTACGTTTTTACAGTATATGTGTTATTTTCATTTCTCAGTGTTAAAAGTTTTGGTTTTGCAAAATGTTTTTTCCTCACCCACCTGCCTATCCAAGGTTATACTACAGGCAATAATATAGATCAGAATAGCCTAAGCAAAATTCTGGTCTTGATTGGGTCACATGATTTATTTCAACCATAAGATTTCCCTGGGCTTCTATAGTGTGAATCATAGAATCACAGTTACACCTACTAATAAACAGTTTGTAAGCAAAGAAGTCTCTGGACAGTTAACCTGGTCCAGCTCCCAGCAATATAAAAAAAAAAGTCTTTTTATTAATTTAATTTAAAAGGTAGATGAAGAAATTATGGGGAAATCTGTACAGTTCTTGACATAAAAAGTTTCTGATGATCCTGTGATCAGGAGTAGAGCATTCACCCACGTTTTTGTAATAGAACACAGTATCACTGTCTTCTCTTGCTGTGACATCTAAATGTGCCTGTCTATTCATATATCATTAATAGAAAGAAGATAATTTAAATATTGATTAGGACAAAGTTTTCAAAAAGAAGCATTTATAAAGGAAACTGCACAGAAGAGCTGAGTTTACTTTTTCTTTTCAGTAAATTCCTAGCAAATTCTTATTATATATTTACATCTGGAGCCAAGTATTGTCCTTCATAAAACAGTTTATTGTTGCAATTTAGCTTCATTAAAGTCATAATACTGCTTTAGGATATGATAGACTAGTGCTGTGGGATTGAATTATAAAGAGATTAATTTTAGCTACGGGAGATAATTGACCCTATAATTCCTATCACCCCTAATCCCAGTTCAAATGAACCAGTGTTAAAAGTGGCAATACTCACAATATAGACAAGGTCATGACCATTAGAATTGTTTTTTACTACCAATTAGATTTTCCCACTTGGTGCATTTGACTAATGTTGTCCTAGAAAGGGGTTTCAGGCATGGAAATACAGTTACTTTAGAGGCACACAGGCACTGGAACTGATGGGTAGTTTGCTGTACATTTGCCAGTGTACAGAATTAGAATGAAGTTGAGTGCTGACCCCTAAAATTTTACTTCACATAGGAATTCAGAATATGTTTTGATCCATGGTGGAATTAGGAGCATGGTAAATAATTTGAATCTGGAAGCAAATTATCTTGAAATTCAACAATGTTAACATATGGTTAACATAGCAGGTTTGGAACTGTCTATACTACATCTGAAGTGTATTTCAGATGAAGAATCAGAAAAAAAAGTGAGGTACTGCCTGAATAGAGAGTTGTTCAAAAACAAATAATTTTGATATTTAGCTGCAAATGACATAAAGGTTTAGAAAAATACAAAGATATATATATATATATATATATATATGATATTGCTTAAAAATTCCCTAAAGTGTTCGTGCCAACTTCAAACACACTAGCATAAGGACTCTTACAAAAAAACAACAGAAAAATGATACTTTTGCATAGCATGTTCAGGATAAGATAAATTTTCACATTTTTACCAGTTATCCATCAGCATTTTTCCAAGCATGTACAGATTTGAGTTTTGCAGTAAGCTGAAACTGCATGATAAAAAGAGACAGATAATGATAAAAAGCAGATGTATATGTAAGCCTAGCTTGAAGGAGCAAAATATACTATTACTGCCCCTCCTGTGAAGTTAATCCTATTTCTTTCAGCTATTTCTTCATTAGTTAATGAGGTTCTAAGAAAAAGAAATAATTAAAGTGGTTTTGAAATACTATTTTTGCATCTTTGCCTTTAGGAACTTTTTCAAATATTCATAGAATAGTTTGCCCTTGAAAGGTGCATTAAGTGTGAGTTTAGGCAACAGTTACTTTAAACATGGGTGGTCAGAAACCTGTAACTGAAATTGCCATGCACAGCAGCTAATCAGTTTCTTCATTCAGATTCACCACACTGGCTAGGCTCAAATTTTGCAATAGTTGTGAAAGGATATGTTTCAATGATTAGGTCAAAAAAAAAAAAAAATTTCAAGTCTTATATCATAGACCTATTAGCACTAATTGAATCTGAATTTGGATGCACTTTGTGATTTGTGGTCTTAAAAATGACAAATTTTCTTCTTACTTTCTATTATCAATCTCAGATCAGAAGTAAAGGGTTTGTCTTCTGTCTTTGTGAAATGAGTATCAGTGCACTTTTACCCCATTTTTGTCACCTACTCCTGTGACCCAGGAATTTACCAACTTCTCTGGGTAGGGAGTCTAGTTTCTCCTGCCAGTTGTCTTAATGTTGATGTTGTACCACATTCTGAGGATGAAAATCTGTGACAGCCTACAACTGGCAATTCTTGTGCCTCTCTTATCCATGAGTACAGGAACTGTAATTTGCCTTTTCATTTCAATATGCTGTATTTATATTATTTTACTGGATAAAACAACCCCTTTATTTATACACAAAACTCCTGAAGGAGTGAAACTGGAAGTGGTAAATTATTCTTTTCACAGAGTTTCAGTTTACTATATTTCAGGGAACATAGAAAGGGGATACAGTTCTTATGGATCCTATTGGATCTGAGCATCTTCTGGTATTATCTATCTTGTGCATATGGAAGAAAACCACCACCCCCAGAGCTTTCCATACATGCCTAGTGCACTAGGCAAAGGCCTTACATGTATACCAACTCTTTAAATGTTTTGCTGTGGATGCAGAAAGACCATCCTACACCTGAGCTCACAGATCACCTGTAGGCTGTTGCTTCTCCATTTGCCAACCACAAAGAAGAAAGTCAAGGCAGTGTTTCCATGGTGTACGTGATAACTAACTCGATTAAATCCATTATGTTTCAAAAGTGCTGGTCTTTCTTGTGCTACATTCAATTTCCTAGTATTATAAAGTGGTTACTTTATTAATTTCCAGCTTCATTATTTCAGTTTTATCCCACTCTCTCTTTTGTTGAATTTCTACTTCTGTGATGGCTTTTCCTTCTTTGTGTAACAGCCACCACAGCAAAAATCAACACCACAGCAGTTCTTAGGTTTTTATTTGATGAATGTGGAGTGTTTGCCTCTTATGTTCTTTTTGCCATGAGGACAAATAGGGCATGTTGACAGCCAATATTAATAAGCTTAACAAGATAGTGGCAGTTACTTAGTACAATTTTAGGCAGTGTTAGTGATCTGTAGGGAACAGTAAAGCTATCCTTTAAAAAAAACTGATGTCACAGTTGCATTCAGAATTCACTGGTATTTTTTATTGTTTTTATTTTCCAGGTGATTCATATAACGGGCCGGTTACGTCTGAGAGTATCCCTGTCACACGGGCGGACAGTGCCCAGCCAAATCATGGGACTTGTTGTCGTTGCTCATGCTTTGCCACCTCCTACAATTAATGAAGTCAGGATTGACTGCCACATGTTTGTCACTCGTGTGAATATGGACCTCAATATCATTTACTGTGAAAATAGGTATGGCCTTTAGATCCTTTACTTCTTTGTTTTAGTTGCGTGTATTCTTTGTTCCATGGGCTCGGCAAGAAGTTTTGAAATTTTTGACTCTTGCAATGTCACCCTGGTGTTGTAGGAGAGCATTGAATTCACTCTCATCATCGCTACCTTCATTTTTATTACATGCTTAGAAGATAAAGGTAAATTTAAAACTGTAATTTGCAGGATGTCTTCTGGAACAGGGCAAGATACCCCAGGAAATATTCCTCTAAGCTTTCTCTGCTTTTAACAATCTTTCACCGTCCCTCTCACAGGCAAGATTTGGGACTAGACAGACGTTGGTCTGACCTGTATGCCTGTCCTTATGCTCCTCCATCCTCCCCTCCACAAGTTTTTCTGTAGGAAGTTTTAAAGTTTTCCATTTTTGAACTAATTTGCAGATTACAGCTATCATGCTCAGTGTTTAATGGAACAGAAGCACAGATGGCCTAGATAGTAGGCTAGAGAGGTGGGATCTGTTGCAGTTAGAGGTGGGAAAACTGTAGAATAAAATTGGTTAAGGGCATACTGGGACAGACAGCAGTGAAGTGGGAACAGGTGATGAGGAGCTGGCTGGGGGGGCTGTGTTCTACGTGATAGTGCTGAGTGATCTGGGGAGGTGAAAGAGAGGATTAAAATTCAGTCCCGCTCCCTGGGGGCTGGGTGCCCGTGGCGCTGGGGGCTCTGCGTGGTGACCTGTGAGGGCAGGACATGGCAGCCAGGGCCCATGCCACCCCCCAGAGGGGAGCTGGATGGCCGGGGGGCACAGGGCAGCTCCAGCCCCTGCACGGGCATCTCCCGAGGACGGCGGTGCGAGGGCTGGGCCGGGCCAGGCAGGGCTGTGGGAGCCGGGCACGGACAGGGGCTGCCATGGCGGGCTGGGCTGTGGGTGGGGTGGGGAGGGCCTGGACAGCAGAGGGGTGATCAAGGCCATTAAGACCTCGGAGTACTGATTTTGAAAGACCAAAATATAATCCAGGGAATAGGTATTTAGAGCAGAGTGAAAATATCTGAGAAGGAAATTACATGTAATACGTTTGGGTCCATTGATGAAGTCTGAGGTATGCGGAAAAGGTTGGAAAGGAAGAAGGAACACAGCCAAAAGAAATTTTGTGAAGAGGACATCATCAAAAAGTGGAAGAAACAAGGTGACTACTGCAAGCTTTTCTTATGACAGCAATGATGGCATATTTTAAATTGAGTGGAAGCTCTCTTATATAAGAAATCATAATTGCTCAATTATAGTGGAATACCTGTGATCAGGATAGCACATCAATATAAACTTTTATTAAAAAGGATAAACAACTGTTTTGTTGAATCAGGATCTTAAACAACTTAAAATAATCTTGGATTTCAATTATGAGGTTGTCTTTGCTGCCACATTGCTGCATTGCTGCAATACTTTTTAAAATAATATTACTTGACTATTAGAAACTTCTTCTATACTTCCAAAGAGTTTTCTAAAAGGGAATATATTATTCTTATTTTTAAGCTTGGAAAAATTGTTTAATGGAAAATGGCTTGCACAAGGTCACAAAATAAGTGGACAATGGCATTAAAGCTTGGGCTGTTTGCATGAGGCTCTACCCAGTGAGTATCGAGATGCTGTATAATCTGGCAGCTGGCAAAAGAGCTCTGGGTGTTAGGAATAGGATCTAGAACAAAACTTTTCCCTAAGCCTCTGATTTCACTGTGCCCTACCTAGGTAGTAATGGAAAACTGCTACCACTGCAGAGATTTTCAAAGGCCTCTGTGAAGTCAGTTGCTGGTATCTATCCAGTTCCTAATGAACAAATTCCCTTTTAACAAAATCACCTGCACTTACTGTTGCCTTTATTGGCAACCTCCATTAAAAAAGCCAGGAATCAAATATATGTGAAAAATGAACTCTTCCATCAGGTCAAGAATTATATGAACTTTTAGGCCAAATTAGGAAGATTTATGCTTTCTCTGCTGTGAGTTTGGCATTTTTATGAGCCCTAAATAGTATATGTGGGGTTTTTTTAATTAAACATTTTTCTCAAACCTTCCCTTTATATTCATGTAGCAATAAAACTTTCAAATGCCCGAGAAAGACATCACTGAAAACTGTAAAATTCATCAGGTGAGGTGCACTGATTGGTAGTCACATAGGAAGTGCTGATAAAACATGGTAAACTATGTTAAGACAGCAAGAAAGTGTTGAGTTTATTAATTTTTTTCAATTTTTAAGCTGAAGGCAAAATTATAAACCAACTTTTTCTTGTTTGTTATGGATTTATCTCATGGTAATGCAGAATGCATATAGTGGTACTTGAATGTATGCTACAATAATTCCACTTTAAACCTCTGTGTCTTTGTTAAAAATCTGTTTAAAATATTTTATAAAAGTAGTTTCAACTAGTAGAAATACTTCTGCCAGTGCTGGGAGGTGAATGTGATCTCACTGATGCAGCAGGATTTTCACTCATGGAAAATGAAATAAAATTGAAAGAACTTGGATTTCATAACAGCTACAGTGCCAAATATGACTGTAAAACTGAAACAAAACAAAAAAAAATAAAATAAAAACAGAAAATGGGAAGGAATTAACAGAACAGCTGATTGAAGTTGTCAGATTAATTATCTGTGTGTTTGCCAAGGCTGTTCTCTGAGTCAGGGACGTTGGGATCTCTCTTCTGGGATTATAGAAAAGGAGGTAAGTATCCCACCCTGAATATATGAGCTTGACTCCTGGCACTTGCGGGCAGCTACGAAATTCTTTGTGGTGCCACAGTAAAGCAAGCACAACATTGATGAAAACAGAGAAAAATGGATCCATGCTGGGCAAGCTGTAAGCACTATTTATGGAGCAATGGGAAGTTACTGGCAGCTGCAGGGAGTACGGAGCAGAAGCCATGCCACTTAACTGAAATGAATGCTCACAGTGGACCATTGGATCAGCAGGGGTGAGATCAATAGTACTCCTGCTTTTCCAAGTGGTTGCCTGCTTGAAACAGCCGTGAGCAGGAATGACATTACTCAAGTCTTTGGGTGCATCTTGTTACTTTCCTTGGAATGAAGAGATCTCCTTCATAATCCTGGAGTCAGTGCAAAAACTAGCCAGATATTAGCTTCCCTCTGAGAAAAAAATTGTTAGCTAGTATACTGGCTGTTTCTAAAAATTAATATTTTTCTTTGAGTGTAAAATAAGGGCGTAAAATTTTGTGGCCTAAAATGTGGTACGTAAATCTGGGTCTATTTTGCTAATGTAGGATTTGTGTCTTCTAAGATTCACCATCTAAAATAACCTGGGATTTCTTTATTAGTCAGTGGAGTGAGAAAAGCACCTGCAAAGGATAAATCACCTCAGATGGTGATAAATAACTAAAAGCAAAATGAGAGGCTGCTGCTAGAGTGCATGATCAGTCTGTGTGTTTTCAGAATCAACTGTTAAGGATTGAAGACCATTTGGAGAGAGAAAATAGCCAGTTTAATGTGGACTGTGATACCACATCTGCTAAAATGTCCCCAAAAAGAAATAAGCATATGGCAGAGGTTTAGCTTGTTGACCATGACAGTGGTTGTCAGTAAATCCTTCAGATATGCAGAAGCAGTCTTGTGTAGCAAACCTCAAGCCTACAAATGTGTGCACAATTTCAGCAAATTCAGCAAAACACTGTACCATATGCCTACCTTTAAATTTCAATCATGTTAACAGTCCTGTAAGTCAGTGGAACCATTGATCTGCTCAAACACAAGCCTGTGCATATGTTTTACAGGACCACAGGATAGTGGCCTGCCCCTTTCTACTAGGCCAGCAGGGTGGGATTTCCTCTCTCTGATTTTATCATAGAATGTACCACAATCATTGAAGATTATTTCAAATCCTAAAAAAATATTCTATATCTAGAAAACAGACATAGTTTCAAATGCTTACGTGAGCAGGACATTTTCTAATTTTCTTTTTAATTTCTGTACTGTGTTTAAGGACGTTGACACCTTGACTCTCCATGATACAAGTTTACACAGGCACGCAGACTCAAGTACACAGACACACACACACAAAGGTCTGCAGAATAGATTTTAAAGTTTCTGTGTGCAATAAACAACAAAGTCCCAGTTGAAAGGGCCCAGAGTGAAAGCTGAGCTCCCAAATGAGTTAGACTAAAAAAGATAACACCCCGAGGCATCTGTGTGTCTCAGCATTTAAATTATATCCCTTGAAATATGAGTTTGGACTTGGTGCCAAGAAATGGTTGAAGAGCTTTTTCATGAATATACCCAATAGAAGACCAATCTGTTGAAATGAAATGTGTCTCTAATCATTTGGTATAAACATAACATGTTTCTACTTTATTATGTAACCTTGAATCATCTTAGTCTTTTAATGAGGATTTTGGATTGTCACTAATGCTTTACAATTTCATGGAATTATATTTTCCTGATGTTATGCTACATGGAGAATATGTACTAGAATTTAATTTTCCACTTAGTTAAATAGATAAAATAATTTCCAGGTTTCTTTAAATTTTTTTTTCCTCTAAGGCCTTGTCTCATTTGTACAGATATTCCATTCAAATTATATAATGCTGAAAAACTTTTTAGCAGATTTAACTTTCTGAGTCATTTGACAATTCTTTTGTTCTTTTCTTTCTTGAATTATAGGCTGTATGTTCTTTTTCCTTTTTAGGATTAGTGATTACATGGATCTGACCCCTGTAGATATTGTAGGAAAGAGGTGTTACCACTTCATTCATGCTGAAGATGTGGAAGGCATTAGACATAGTCACTTAGACTGTAAGTACTTCCAGTTTTGTCAAAATAATCTGGTACAACAACTGATTGCTCCTAAACTATTATTTATGCTCCACAACTGGGATCTTCATCTTACACCTGCCTTTTTTTTTTTTTTAAGGGGTTTTCATAGAGGATGGTTTAAATGTAATTTGTGTGATTTATTTTCAAGTCTTTTTATAGACATATAAGACCATTTAAATATGTGAAAATAAACATTATATTTTTATTACTTGAATTTCCAGCAGCTGTTAATTTACATGTGCTATGCATTATTTTAAGCATTAAAGAGGTATTGCTTACATGAGAAACTCCTTCCCTGGTACAGGAGAAGAACTCCTCCTGTGAGAATTTTGGGTTTTTCTGTGTCATAACATGAATGACAATAAACTGCAGCATAATTGGGATTTCACCAGGTTTTTTCATACAGAACTGAGCTACAGCTCTACTAGTGCTTTAACCACCCCATGTGTTAATACCTAAATGGCCCCGTCCTTATAGCATCTATGTCCCTGTTATATGCACACTGGTAGTATCTGATTAGGATAAGGAAAACAGAAGTACAAAAATATTGCAAGAGACAAGCCTTACCAGAGAACACGTGCAGTGTCTGTGTATGGGGGAAGGGAGGTTCAGCATGATTCCTTGTAATTAAACTCTTTGTGTTTCTTTTACTAAAAGCCATAGGGCCTAATTCTTTTCTTGTTGAGATCTGTTGACTTCAGTGATGGGGCTTCTGATTTACCCTTGTGCGAAAAAAGATTTATGCCCATAATCTCTAATTTATCTGTGCCTGCAGTGAAGACAGATAATTCTTTGGAAGTTTCAGTGACTGACTGAATTTATGATTGACTTTAGTGTTTTTCTTAATGCAGAAGACGAACTGCAAACGGCTTCTTAAATTCAGAGTTACAGATTTGAGTAACTCTGCTCCCCCTGCATCATGTCCTGGTAACATTTCCTAATAATAGGGCAGCAGCCCAAATGCAGCCACAGTTAATTAGATTTTACAAAACCATATGACTGCACTAGAAGGCAGAAAAAAATGTTCCATCCCAAATTACCTTGCATGATCTTGCAAGGGAAGATAAGAGGATATCTCTGACCGGAAAGCAGGAGAATAGGGACAGCTTCTATAACAACATATGGCAGCCAACAGCAGCATTAGGCTGTGTAAAGACTTCAGAAGTTTCTAGAATGTAAAATGTGCTTGGCATAAAGTCAAGCTAGATATATTTCTGCAGGAATAAAAAAAATAAAATCAACTATCCAAAAGGATAAACAAAGTAATTTTGTGTCATTTAAATTTTAAGCACTTGATATCCAGGAGAATATGTCAGTTGCTGAGAAATGAAGGAACAAATTCAGAAACTCAAATTCTTGGTGCTCTTGTAACTGGAAGTCAAAACTGACAAGTTGCACTTTCACTGCACTATCTGGCCAAGGAAATAAAAGATATTTATGACTCAGATTTACCTTACCACCTGGCATAGATGAACATCACATTTGAAAAAGACCTTAATCTTCTGAATGACCACTTCTCTCTCGAATAGGATATCTTTTATGAAACATTAATCTTCAGAAAAATTCAAGATCTATGCAGAGAGTATGAGTGCAGTGTGGTCAAGTATTTAAGCACTGGACTAGAACTCAGGAGACCCTGAAGACAAGAATGACGTCAAGAAAATCATTTCAACTTTCTGTATTTCTGCTCTCACTGTATGTCCAGTTCAGCTGATTGCAAACTTTACACACACAGGAATTTCTCTCACTTTCAACATCCACAATGTGGATGCAAAGCAGGGCTCACAAACTTTGCTGCATGGCTATAGCATTATTATTTTTGCTAGGCTAGTTGTTTTTTTTTCAATAGACAGGGATGGTTACATCTTTTATGCATATTTGTTTTTTTGCCTTATAGGAACAAGATGTTCATAGAATCATTTAGGTCGGAAGGAACTCTGGGATATCATCTAGTTCCACCTAATACTCTAAACAGGATCAGTAATAATTCAAAACAAATTTTTTAGCACTTTGTCTAGTTGATGTTGAAAAACTTCAGAGTCATCTATAATTTCTCAGAATCACTAACGTTCCAATTAGCTTAATAAGTGTCAGTTATCATCACTGTAATTTTGGGGGGCTTTTTTCCCTCCTATCCAGTTAGAATTTCCCTGTTTTGATAGTACAGCTCATGGCTCCATCTTTGCAGTATCCTGCTTGCAGATATGCTGCTAGGTACCCCTGAAGTCACCTCATCTTCAGGCTAAACAAGCCTAGTTGCACAGCCTTTCCTCACAGAGCAAGTACACCAGCCACTGGGTGCCTCGACAGACCTCTTCTGAGCTCACTGAAATTTATCAATATATTTCCCATGGTTGGAGGCTAAAATTAGATTGCAGATGCAATTGAATGAGTGATGAGTGAAGGGGAATAATGACTTTCTGTGCTCTGCTGGCTGTACACTTTTTAGTACAGCCCTGCTGATTCATGCTTAGCATAGTGTGCAATAGGACCCCCAGGTCCCTTTCCACAAAGCAGCAACCCAGCGAGCCAGTTCCAAGCCTGTAACAAAGCAGGGAATATGTCCATCCCAGATACAGGACTTTGCATTTGTCTTTTCATGTTTAAACTTGTGCTCTTTATGAAAGATCTTCAAGTTTAAATTAGTCTTGAGAATAACTGGGGAAGTACTATAAGTTCTGCAGAAGCCAAAGTGGCTTTGCCCAGAGAGATGTTTGACTTCAAGCATTTGACAATACAAATTGTATAGAAACCAAGAGAAAAAAAAATTGTAGAACCCCAAAATACTTCATAGCAACTTGCCAATCCTAAAAACTCAAATTCAAGCCAAACAAGAAACAGAAAATCCTTCTGGTTTAGTAAAACTACAATTAGACCTAAAATTCATTAACTGGTGTACACTGGCTGTGGAAGGTGGAACCCAGCAGAACTGGTTCCCCAAAACAGAGAGCACAAGATATTTGCCAGTACAACATAGGAAATAGCTGCTTGAGATCATAATGGGAAAAAATAAAACAAAAAACAAAACAAAAACAAAAACAAAAAAAACCAAACAAACAAACAAAAAAAAACAAACAAGCAAACCAAAAAAAGCAGATTTGTGCAATATTTTGCAGAGGACCTGGAATCTAAAGTAATGGATAGAAAGCACTTGTGAAAAAACAAAGCCGGACTTGAGAAAGTAACAAACTGAAAAGATTGTGTTTGATAGAGGATGCAACCAAAAATCTTGATTTATTTTTACAGAAGAGAAAATAATTTTCAATTATTAAAACAAGAAGAAATCTGAATTGCAGTTGTAGATTTCTTGTTTAAAAGAAACACAAGTAAAACTGCTATTCTGCCTATTTACTGACAACATATCATAAGGAAAAAGTAAGACCATTACATCCTGCTTTCTCATCCAAAATATTCAAAGATATCAAAGAGAAAAACAAGCAAAAAAGAAAACCTTGCACAAAATCACAAGAAAAAAAATGAAGAGGGTTGTTGATTACTTCAGATCATAGTAGCCCATTAGAAACATAGAAAAGCAGGCCTTGTTAGCTCTATCTCAGATAAAAGAAGACAAAAGCAGTTTCAGGAATGCAACCATAACAAGTATAATTGTGAAGAAGGTCTGCAAGGCTATAGCAGTGACAACGGGCTTTTGTGAAGGATCTCCTGCCCTAATGAAAGGTCATTTATGGTCACTGGGAAAGCTTTCATTGGTTTCAATGGACATGGGGGTTATGCCTTAAAAAAGCAATTTTTTGTGGACTAAAACTCTGAGCTCAGCCAAGTAAATAGCAAAAATTCCACTAGGTGGAATTGCCTTGAATCCCTTTTGAATTAATAAAACAACATTCATACTCTACCTGCATTTATAGCAACACCATAATATATGGCACGATAACATAATCTTTTTCCAAACAGAAAAAAAGTTTATGGCAATTGCTTCTCTTCTGTTTCATTCAAACTTTGAATGATCATGCTCTTTCACAAATCTCTCAGCCAATTTTTTGGTATTATAATTCTACCTTATTAAGCTCTTTCCTGTTTTAAAATGGTTCATGGTTTCAGGAGTTTGGGAATCTTCTTATTTGTTCATCTTCACAATGGCTGTTGAACAAATTGCTGGTAGAATCATTATATAAATCGAATTTTTCTCACAGAGGTCATAATTAAAATGTTCTCCAGTCTAACAGCCTGTACACATCCAGTATCATGACCCAGCTGTTGGCTCAGCTAACACACAAAAACTGGCTAAGCTACAACAACTTTTGTTTCAATCCAAACCCTCAAAAATTACAGGTCTGGCTGTACCCTGGCACAGATGGAGTCTCTAATCCCAGCTCTGTAACAGAGCTCTTCATTAGGTTACATGCCATGAAAGAATTGTAATTGAATGTTTTGTGTTTCATAGTTATGCATCTAGAACTACAGCCTAGAAAGACCCATGATGGGCCAGTTCTACTTCACAGCTTGTACGAGTGGGGAAGGTGATAGATCTTCTCTATTTCCTTACCCCTGTGTAAAAGCAGTGCTGGACTGAAGTGCGTGTCAAGCATAGGGTAGTTCAAACACTTTCACCAAGCCATGAGTCCCTGCATGAGAACTGCCTTTGTTCTTATGACATCAGTGACAAAAATCCCTCATCTTAAAGTTAGCAGGATACATTTGATGTCAAATCAACACCAGAAATCAAGCAGATCAATAAAATTACTGTTGTATCAGGTCTTAGCACTCTCTATAGAACACAGCAAGGGCAGTTGCTCCTCTTGAGAGTACCATGCTGTGCCCGTGTGCTTCCTTTTTTTGACACCATTATCATTCAGAAGTCTGTAACAACCCTTTTTTTTTAAAGTTCATTTCCTGCTATGAATGAGTGGATGTCATATGCTGTAGGAGTATGCATCTTCTATTTAATTGTAAAAAATTAAAGGTCTTCATTGAACATCAAGTACTTTATGTTACTATTCAGTGAAGGTCATTAAAAA